GACAAGCCTTCCAAGCACGCATAAAGTCAAACTGACTGTCAACAAAGAGACAAAGAAGCAGTACCAGAAGAAAGAAGTAGAGGAGGAAGAGAAGGAAAGGGAGGAGGAGKWGAGGAGGAGAAGAAAGAAAGAAAGAAAGAACAAGGACAGCAACAAGAAAGGAAAGAGAAGCTCAACCCAGATTCCCGAAACGCGACCGTTCGGCCGTAAGATAGCAAATAGCACCGCCGAAAACATCCAAAGAATAGTCGTGAAAGCTGGCGCAGCGACCCTACGCTGCGTTTCATCCGGCCGCCAAACCAGAATCATCAGGGGTCTGTCGTATCGCTAGGGAAAGGGACTGAGCAAATAGAAGTCTCGAGCTTAAGTACCAGTAGAAGAATCGCCTAGAATAGTTCAAGACAGCCTAGAGGGAAGGAAAAAGGATTCGTCAGCAAGAGAAGTCCAGGAAAATGCCGCCAAAGAGAGGTGAAGAATATGGACAGGAAAGACCGTCAGATACGGCAAAGAAAGTAGACATAAAAGATCATCAGATACAGCCTAAAAGGAACCACACCAAACAGCGATTCGTCTAGAAGCAACAATACTAAAATCAACGCACAGTCCCAAGCTCCTCACTTCTCCTACCGCCACCTGCCCATTCACCAGGCGGCCTCATGCAGACCCAACAAATAAGTTTTGGGAAAAACAATTTTTTAAACAGAAAGAAAAAGAAAAAGAAAAAGAAAAAGAAAAAGAAAAAGAAAAAGAAAAAGAAAAAAGAAAGATGCACCCCAACGGCCACTACCCCCAGCGTTTTTCAGGGGCCGACCGACCCCAACTCTGTTATCGCACATTTCCCCAGACCCCGTCTCCCTACCCCCAGTCTAAATGGTCTGCCCCCCCAGCCGCGAGCGCCTGCAGCGCCGACCGTCAACCTTCCCCAGCCTGTCAGTACCACCACCCAGTCGTCCCAGATCCCCGCAAACTTTCTGGAAAAGACCATCAAGTTGAACCCGTTATCGAAGTATTCATCTGGGAAACCCCTCTTTCGCAACTCAATCTTCAAGGTAAGTAGGAATGCAACCTCCATCACCTTCATGGTAGTATACAACCTTGCCCAATGCAAACAAGATCCGATGACGGCCATTTTCTGCTGCTTGCTCGTATAGGAGTCGAAGTCCTGCAAATTCTGAAACTTCACCCCTTTCTCCTTGTAACCCCACTGGTTTTTGTGCAAAGCAACACACTGCAGGCCCCATGGCCATTCCAAAGCTTTCATCACACAGCCAAGAAAGTCCCAGCAATCACCTTCACTAGTCTGCTTCAGAACAAGATTATCGTCATAACATACCCGGAACATATCCATAATTTCACCAGCCTTAAGCAAAGAGCAGCCATTTCCTTCCTTGCAGCGGATCATAACTGACACGTCATCCACCATACGCAGACCATTCACCAGGCGCTGATCGCAACCCAGCGACGTCAGAAACATAAATTCGTTGCAAGTGCAGAGGAGACTAGCCAAGGCAGGGCTGGAAGCCTTGCCCATAGGAATCCCCACCGTTTGTTGCAACACCTGTCCGCACGCTTTGAAAAAAGTCGATCCAAGCTCAAACGAAAATTTTCCTACCACATCCAGAGGAATGGAGATCCACCACCTCTGTTTTTCCAAACCTCAGCTTTGCCCCCTTCCCTCTAGCCTTAACCAAGACTCCTTTACAACCTCTGATCGCCCAAAAATCCACAACCCACCTAACTGCTACCATGATAGACTGATGAGGCAGATTGCAGAACATTTCCTTAATATCAAAGGCAGCGATGACAAAAAATTCTCCCTTCTTTAACTGTTTATTGATCTGACCCAAAGCAGGTGTCAATTCCGCCATGCTCTTCAGATTAAAATTCGTACCCTTCGGCAGATCCCACAACAGCTGGTTCACAGCCCGTGCCACTTTTTTACTGGCAGTCACCCCGGGTCCCGAAAAGGTGGGACAAATCGGTCGCCACCTCGAGATATCCTTGTGCTTGGGTAATGAGTTGGCCTGTCCCAACACACCCCACACGTTCCATTTCCCCAGACAGTTAAACCCATCCCGAACGTATTCAACCCCACACTGCCGCATAGCCTCTTCCCCATTATCAATATGTTCAAAGCCTGGGTTCATCAGGAACAGTTTGTCCAGGCTGGCCCTATACACCGTCGGACAGCAAAAGAAAGAATCGCCCATACTGTGGTCAATCGGGCAACCCACCAGATCCCCCAACCTCGCCCTCCATGCAGAAACTTCACCATTCCATCCAGTACAGGTTCAATTGCTACCTTATTAAAACATGCCTCCACCGACTTCCTCTCAAACATACTCGCTTCCAATTTCGGCAGAAAGCGAACCATCTCAAAGGAGGAGGTAATCTGCTGGACGAGCAACCTTCCCGAAGTGGAGCGAGAGGAGCGCGGAATGTTTTTAGCATTCTTTAGGAAAGAAGGGACAAAGTCAACATCCGACATCCGAAAGCAAACATGTCCAGCTACCCGGGGAAACTGCACACCCATCTTGTTGCAACAACACTCATGCTCAGTTTGCCTGCTTGCCCCCCGTCGCTCCCGAAAATTGAACAAAACGTCACCCGTACTTCTATTCTTGGTCCAAACTACTTTCATTCGTCTTACAGCCATCTCCTTCAAACAGTCAGGCAAATCCAGCTTCACCACACAGCAGGCGTACAACACTCTTACTCGCGAGAATATCATAAGATAAACGAATGACCAAACGGGCGCGCACATTGAAACCAAAAACCTTCCGTACCGCCCCTGTCAGTACGCACCTCAGCGTATGCCGCGTCCTCCTATCTTTGAACAGCCGTGTACAAACATACAAGCCGTTCAAGCCCCCAGACGTGCAGCTGAGCACGTGTCGAAGGATACCGGAGGAAATCGAGAAGAATCGGCTTATGACAAAGCAAAGTCGAGCGGTAATATGTGATAGTGAGGAAATGCAGAACGACCCCGTCCGCTAGCCAACCACGACTCTTTTTCAGAGCCGCAACCCCAAAGTCAGTCGCCACAACCGAACCACCAAAACAACGCCTAACAATCTTCCATGAATACAACAAGAGATTCCCCCCTGCACAACGAATCGTAATAGCCGACTTGCCTCTTTCTCTTGCTTCAGACAAAATTCCCAGCAGACTAGCTGACCGCCCGCAATCATCACTCGAGAAGACAAGATGTGTGTGCTTGGACAAACAATCATTCACTTTATCATTAATCCTCCCTTTCCTCCTTCTTCGCATTTTTTCTCGCTCTCGCTTCCCCGATCTACAGTTCCTGCGCTTGGCAGGTAGGTCCCGACTGTTTAAATACGGACTACACCTTCGAATAACCATTTTCTCCAAATTTAACAAATCAGTCTGTTCACAGAAGAATAACGGCAAAGCCACATAACTTTCCGGGCCACAGCGCCTCAGCCAGTTATACAATCGGTGGTTCCTATCCCCTTTCTCAACAACACCGGTGTTACATGCCCTGTAGACGTGCTCACCCCACCGCACATCAAGTGACCGACACGTCGATCCCACATACACATGCTTGTGCCATGGGGACAGCAAAACATGCACAAGCGAGCCCTTGCGCGACCACAGGATCACCACAGTCCCTAGCCGTAGTCAACAGATAGGAGCGAAAGTTATCAGCCCAAGGGATACGTCCTCGAAAAACCATGACAAGCACCACAACCTGGAAGAAGGTGTTCCAAGAAACATCTCGCAGCAGGGAAGGAGAAGAGAAAGAGGAAAAGGAGGGAGAAGAAGAAGAAGACGAAATAGAAGGAGAACGAAAATCTCGACAAACCCGTGCTAGGTTCCAAAGAGTCGCGTTCTGGAGGTCCCATCAAGCCGAGTCTGAGGGCACCTCCTCCACATCCGCGACATCGCTTTCTTCCACAGCCTCCTTTCCATGTCTCCGCTCCGTATCGTCCTGTTTCCCCCCATCCCCATCGAACATCCTGGCCGTATAAAGCATTGCCAGTTCCTCCGACGTTGCTTCAATGATCTTGTACCGCAAGCCCTCTTCCTCACACAGGGCCTCCAGACCCGACTTCTTCAAACCCTTCAATCGTTTCCTTTCATCCTGAAGCATATCGAACCGATCGTTAGCTTTTTTCGCACTTGCATCAGGGCGGGGCACTCGGCCTGCTGTCATTTTCACCTTTCCTTTGCGCCCCGTCCGAAAACCACTCTTCGCCGCCTCCTCCATCCTGTCCTTGAGATTGGTGCCCATGCTTGCCGGCGTAGCAGCTCCCCCTGCCTCTGTAGATAATTTGCGCATTTGTTCTCTTAACTTCTGTAGCTCTGCCTCAGCTTCGACCCGCTTTGCCTCAGCATCCACACGTCTTTGCTTTAGAAGCTCGACCTCCGTTAGATCGCACTTGCGCCTCTCATGCAAGTCAAGTAACTCAGCCCGAAGTCTCCGAGCCTCCTCCGGTGTGCTCACCAACTTTGACCTTGTAGCTGCCCTTCCCTCGGAGATAGGAGTTGTGACATTAATACTCCCCCTCTTGTTACAGGGGTGAAGGGCTTCATTTCGCCAGAGCTGGGCCACCTCCTCAGTCTCTTCATTACGCTTACGCAGAGCCTCCATCTCAGTGCGGAAATCCTCAACCTATTTGGCCAAATCACTTTTTCCCAAAATTTTCCGGCACTCCCTCATTTCCCGAATCTCCCATCTTAACGCCGCCAGGTCCCCCTCCATCTTCTGCTTAAGATCAGCCTCCTGCCTCCGCAATTCAACGTTCTCGCGTTGTAATCGATCAATAGCCTCCGTGGAGGGCAACTGTTCCTTGATCCCATACTTAGCTCGCAGATCCGCATTCTCATGTCGCAATTTCTCCATCTCCTCATTTGCAGAATTTGAACTCGCCACCCCTCTACCCATGATTGCTTCGTACATAGGCGCCAGCCGACTCTCCAACTTCTGGCCCATAGAATTCTCCAATTCCTCACGCTCTTTCTTCTTTTGTGCAGCCTCCTCCTCTTTCTCTCGTTTTTTCCGCTCGTTTTCCTTTGCCTCCAATCCTCCCTCTCCTTTTGCTCCGCCTTGCTCACAAAAGCATTGCACTTGTCCAGGATTTGCTGGTTCCTGGTCCACCAACCAGTACGAGGCGCAGCAGCATACGATGAGTTGGGCGGAGCCGTTGCCTGGACCGTTGGAGCCGCGGCCCCACAGCAGGTAGAGCCAAAATAGGCTCCGCATTAGCCCCCCTGGCTACCGAAGGACGATAACCCATCCTCCGCGGGTGTGGGCACTCCCGAGACCAATGGCCGAATTGGTCACAATTGAAACATGCCCCTCGCGCCGGAGCAGCCATGTCAAGATAGTCAACGAGGATAAAGAGATGTAAGACAAAAGTAGAGAAAGGAAAGGTAAGGGATCCGAGTCCAGGTATCAAGTTTGACGACGATAAAACCGACAAGCGCAGCCACACATCCGTAGTACTATTCCTACGGCGGTTACGGCACAAAGTGCTGGTAATCGACAAGCCTTCCAAGCACGCATAAAGTCAAACTGACTGTCAACAAAGAGACAAAGAAGCAGTACCAGAAGAAAGAAGTAGAGGAGGAAGAGAAGGAAAGGGAGGAGGAGGAGAGGAGGAGAAGAAAGAAAGAAAGAAAGAACAGAAGAAATAAAGTCACCTGCTGGAAAACAGGTCAAATCCCTTATACAGAATTATGGTTCAGAAGAAAAAATAGAAGCCTGTAGGCCCTGTACCAGGCGCTGCCAATGTCAAGTAGTTCCCCCCTCCCTCCTTTTCCACTCCAACTGTACCCGTCCACCCTGTCTACCAAAGAACAGTTTCCCACGGCTGGAAACCGGGTCCAGCGTCCCTGGCTTGGAGAAACAATGGGACCACTGGGGGGCACCAGTGGGACCACAGATCTCCTAGCCCTTCTCCAAATTGAAACCGGCCTTCCTTGTCCTGCCACCGGGGGCAAGCCCAGCACCTACAATAATCTTTTGAAGAAAATGCAGAAAAACAAAGAGAAAACTGAAGAGCGATGCACTCCTGCCAGGTAATGAACTAAGCACTCTTTAGAGGACTTGATAACAGCAGCTTAGCCTTTGATTGTGGCTCAGGTCCGTCACCTCTAAATCACCACCTTGCAGAAGGGCTTTCAACCAGGGTCAGCGGGTGAGGGGGGAAGGGATCCCCAAACTCCTGCACCAGCCTGAGTGGGATTCCAAGGTCGATTCTCGTCCAGTCCCGGAACACCAGATGGTAATCTCTTGCCATCTCAACCTGTGGGCCCTCCTGTGGGACCTGTGGACCCACCTCCCCACCCTGGCATTGCCCTGCCCGTGCCCTGTCCACAACACCTCCGCCATCCGTCCTCCCCGCCTCCCTCCCAACCACTCCTGCAGAACCGGGAAATAATCTGGTCAGCGTCCCCCCACGAGTGACCGCTGTCCAACTTCACCTTGACTGCCTGCCATTTGGTGGTGATCTCAGTCTGAATGAATGATTGGAGCTGTAACAGCTGTTTGGTCACCTTCCCTTCCTCCCTCTCCAATATACACCTCCTCCACCATATCACTCAGAGTACCGAGCGCCTACCGAGGCGGAAAAGGTTCTCTGTGAAGATGCTCTCCTCGGTACGAGGATACTGCCCCAACAAAATTGCCCTCCAGTCCCATGGCCACGACAAGTCCGACACCGGCTGCTGCCAGACCCTATCCCACCACCGCCATAACAGCACCGATGAGGGGACTGCATGAAAATGTGCTCTACCGTCTCAGGCCACTTGTGAGATGGGAAATTGTGCAGTTACCTTCGACACCACAGCAGTGCCCACCCCTGCTGTTCCAGCCGGGTGTGGTCAATCAGCCAGGCGTTTGTAGGTAGGCAGCGGTCAATCAGCCAGGCGTTTGTAGGTAGGCAGCGGTGGGCTATCTGCCACTGAAGGGAGGACATCTTCGCTGGCCTCAGCTTATAATAGCTAAACCACCTGATTGGTCTCAACAGACCCCTCTCAATATTCAGCTCACATTGCCACCTGTCCTCCGCCACGTCCCACAACTTCCTTCTCGCTCTCGGCATTCTATATGTCAGCTTTGCCTTCAGGTTGGCTAGTTCCATCGTTTGTGGGCCCTCCCTCCCCATCGATTAGCCTGACTAGCCTGATTCGGGGTCGAATGGTAGGTCGGTAATCGGGATCATCAGTCTGTACGCCCTCCAACAACTTCCTTCTTCCAGTACCCTGCTGCGGTAAACTTCCTTCTTCCCCTTCCAGACAAAAGGCTGTAAGTGACTTATCTTAATGCAATGCAATTCTGCAAGAAGTCTGTGTAACCGTTTGAACGCCGTGAACACGCGTTCGCGTTCAAATGTGCGTTTGAACGCGGATTGCGTGTTCGCGTTCAAAATTGAACGGCGTTCAATTATTTTTTTATTTAAAAAAAAATAAAATTAATGCCTATAATTTTATTTTTTTTTCTGATTTTTTTTAATGAGTTCTGTATGATGTGAGGTACATGCCTCTCAATTTTGGAGTCATTTTGCTAAGGCAAACAAAAATGAAAAATCGCCAAAGATGGCGGTGTCAAATCGTGTTCGCTCACTAATTTAAATTCTTTTTTAACTTTTTTTTATTTTCTGTTTTCTACTTGTTTTTCCAATTTGGTAACAAATTTAGATGTAATGCTCAGGCAAATGTTGTTTATTTTTTTTTTTTTCATAACATTTTTTTTTTTCGGAATTTTTTTTTTTTTTTTTTTTTTTTTTTTTTCCCTGCGCAGAATTGAACTCCGCGTCCGGTCCCGTTCATTGAACATGCGTGCATTCTGTTCAATTTCTGAACGGAAAACCCGCGTTCAATGAACGCGCGGTTTCACAGCAAGAAGTGGCGCAAGCACAAGGTGGACGAACAATTGTATGTTGCTTTTGTTCGTCTTACTCAAGTGCCTACTACATTTGCGGCAAATTGCGGCTAGTACTAGTTCTACTTTGCATTGTGTGCCTACTTCTAGTACTTCTACTTCTCCATCCACTTCTAGTCCAAATGATTCTTCTTTAGATTCAGTTGCCTTCACTACTAATCTCCGACCATATTAAGCTGATCCTTTTTTTTCTTCTGATCCCCCACACCCGAAAATCCCAGCAAACACCAAAAGCCTACTCAACCGATTTCGGAAGTTTTGGGCGAAACCTGTGGAGTCCCCACGCGCTCGATCAAACACACGATCGAGTTGGTTGAAAGCGCTGTTCCTCCAAAAGGTTGTGTATACCGTATGAGATCCGGCGAGTTGGAGAAACTCCAAAGGCAAATCGATGAGATGACTGACAAAGGGTGGATTAAGCAAAGCGAATCTGAATTCGGTGCACCTGTTTTGTTTGTCCCAAACAAAGGAGGCAAGCTCCGAATGTGAGTTGATTGCCGCGGTTTTAACGGCATCAGAAGAAATAATACATATATATTGCCATGCATCAATGATCTGCTTCAAGGTCTTCTTCAAGATCGATCTTAAGTCCGATTACCACTAGATTGAGGTTTATCTATCACGCGTGGTCATGACCACGGGCCCGATTACCGCATGCGGTCATGGTCATGCCCGTGGGAGCTAATCACGGAGGCTAGGTGCGGCCAAAACCCCCCGTTATTTCTAATTCCTTGAATACTAAGCCAAAAACATAAAATAAAATACGGGGTTGTAGGGTTTGAAATTCCCTACATCCCCAATTTTTTTTTTTTTGATTTTGATGTTTTTGGTGATTTAAAAAAAAATAGAAAGCGAAAAAAACAAGTATTAAAAAAAAAAAAAACACAATAAGTTTTTTTTTTTTTTTTTTTTTTTGTTTCTGATTGCTGGTGGGATAAACATGGTGCACACGTTTCTTTGATGCTTTTTTTTACCGACATATGAAAATATAAAAGGGAAAGAAAAAGATAATAATGAAAAGAAAAGCCAAAGCCATTTTTTTTTTTTTTTTCCTTTTTTTTTCTCGTTTTTATAGACACACATAGTATCACATATTGATTGATTGATTGATTGATTGACTGTGATTGACTGTGATTGCCACTGATTGGTTGATTGATTGATTGATTGATTGATTGACTGATTGATTGATTGACTGATTAATTGATTAATTCGTTGATTGATAAATAAATAAAAAAGTTGAAGTTAAACGCGCTAGTTTGTGTGTGTGTGTGTGTGTGTGTGTGTGTGTGTGTGTGCGTGTGTG